AATTCTGGGAGTTGAAGTCCACCCATCTTCAAGTTGCTGAGGTTGAGAAACACTGGTCTACATCATTCTGACTTCATATGGTCACCCTTTTCCAGCATGTTATTTCTTCCATAGTGAGAATTGGCAAGCACACAGCAGAGAGTCCTGACAAGGGAAGAGGCAAATATTCACATAAACTGTTGACCTTGAACAAGAGAGTGAAGCTGGTGATTTTTCAGTTTTCTTCAGTTCTCTTCTGAACCTAACCCTCCTGAGGTTCAGGTTTTCAATAACCATAGCTTTGTTATCTGGGGTTGTATCCTGCATATAACTGCTTGGATAACAGGATCTACCTGCATGCCCAACGTAATCTAAGAATACCTGGCAACACAATTGTATAAATGCAGATAACTTCAAGCATGACTATGAATCTTATTCACAAAAAAAAAAATGTAAAAAGCAAAACTGACTATAGGGCTGTAATACTTCACCTTGCTCAAATTATAGCTAAATTCAATAGATTATTAAATCAAGGCAGCCTCTCTCATTTTGGGTAAAATAAACATTTGGGATGCAATAATAAGTGTTAATTTTGTTCAGATGAATTACTAGTGCTGTCACCCCCAAATTTATTTCAATCTGCTTCAATGCTTTTACAATAATATAATATTAAAACATTTAAAGTAAGTCTTAAGATTGTTTTTCATTCTTTGCAATAGTTGTTTGTCCCAGAACCTCGTCCTGCACCTAAAAATGATGTTGGATTCAAATATAGTGTGAAGCACCGGCCATTTCCTGAGGAAGTGGACAAAATTCCTTTTGTGAAAGCAGACCTGAGCATTCCAGACTTGCATGAGATAGTTACTGAGGAAGTAAGAAATTTACAGTTTCCTGATTTATTTCATGTTGCTCAACAAAATTTGTTAGAAGTTTCTCTTGATATTCTTCACAACTAGTCTTTCTGGGACAAAGTAAGGTGTTTGATGCACATGTGCATCTCAGCAGCCCCATCTATTAGAACTTTCTCTACTCACTGGGCATATAAAGTAAGTCAGCCATTGTTTTTCAGGAAGCCATTGCCAGATTGGGATGGAATATCCTGTTGTCCTTATTCTTTCTGTATCCTGTGAAAATGTGAAGTCAGTCACATGTTGGTTAACATTGCTTGCAATTATTCTTTTCTTTAGAGCACTGATTTAACTGCATGTAGGGGCTGAATAGCTGTAACATGGCAACTGATGAGCATCAGTAGTCAGAATTTTATTCGGTAGAAAGCTGGAGCAAATTGCAGGAGCTTTTTTAGGCACTTGGTTTCATTGCTCTTTGCATCATGAGAAGAGGTTCTACGCCACAACTTGATCCTACGTTTGGTAATTATGGATGTTTGATGAAGTTCTTAAATACTTTTCAGCTGGAAGAACGTCATGAGAAGCTGAGAAGTGGAATGGATCAGCAAGTTCTTTATGAGAAATGTATAGATCAGCAAATGGAAGAAGAATGGAGGACGAAAAACTTCCCTGATCCAGTGACAGAGTGTAAGCCACCACCTCCTGCACAGGAGTTCCAGACAGCACGCCTCTTCCTTTCTCACTTTGGATTTCTATCACTAGAAGCATTGAAGGTGACTGAAAATTTGATATTGTCTAGTTTGCTTCAAACACAATCATTAGTAAGCAATACAGGTAGTTCTCACTTAATCACAATAGGGACTGGAAAATTGGTCGCTAAGTGGGGCAGTCATTAAGCAAGTCACCATGTGACTGGACCCAATTTTACAACCATTTTACAATGGTTGTTAAGTGAATCACATGGTCATTAAATGAATCCGGCTTCTCCAATGGACTTTTCACTTACTCATTTGCTTAACAATTTGGACAGAATTCACTTAACAACCACACGATTCGCTTAACAACCATCGTAAAAAGGTCACAAATCACAATCACGTGACCGCAGGGATGGTGGTGCAATGGTTGGCAATGGTCATAAGTATGAGTATAGGTTGTAAAGCACTTTTTCTGAGGCCATTGTAACTTTGAACCGTCATTAAACAAATGGTTGTTAAGCAAGGACTACCTGTAAAGCTACTAGGTAGCATTGATTCCATTGACTTGTGCCTCAAAATAGAACTTTATAAAGTGGAGTAAAATAGTAAAACTCTTAACAGTTTCATGTGCATTATTGAAAAAAATATCTGTGGGTGTAAGACTCCTACCTTGAAAATTGTACTATTGGGTGGAAGAGTATGCCATACTTCCTACTATATAACAAGGTCCTTGCTCTATATTGTCTGTGTGGGAGATTACATTACCTATTAGATTATCTTAATACAATTGATTTTTATGACTCTTTCACTGCCCACCCTCCCTTTTTAAAAAAAATAATAAAACCACTTAAACCAAGGGCACCCAGACATTAAAAAATGTTGGACTTTACAGGCTGGAAAGATCATGATAGTATTGTGGTGACATGAGCAGATGTGAAGACCTGTAACATTTTGTCCTTTGGAAGGGGTTGATAGATTAAGCAAAATCTAAACCTATTAGACCCCTTCATGGATCACTGCCTTGTCGTGGCGAAGGGGCTTGCGTAACTCAGTGAAGC